AGTATAAGAAATATGTGTTGAATATCATACAAACAAATATTAGCTCATTTATTCTTTTAGTCTCTCGCATTAACATTATATTCGTATTTTTGGATTGGATTTGAGTTTATTCTTATCAAAGAAAGTGATTGTTGGAGACTTAATTTGTCCATAAACCCTTTTGCATTGATATGTTTTAGACTCGAGAGTTATGTACTTTTTTAAGTTAGATTTGAGTTTACTCTAATTGAAGAAGGTGATTGGTTGGAGACTTAGTTTGTCCTTAAACCTCTTCCCACTCATGTGCTTGAGACTCAAAAAAGTTATGTAACCTCCTAAATTAGATTCAAGTTTATTCTTATTAAAGGTGTTGATTTAATACTCAAAATTTTCTTAAGTCTCATCACACTCATGCTCTCGAGGTTTGAGGATCATGTGTTCTCTCAAATTAGATATGAATTTATTCTTATTGAAAAAGATAGTTACTTCATGAATCTTATACTTCAACAAATGTGATGTATTTATGTACCCTAAATAATTTTAGAGTGTTACATTTGTATAAGATTTCTTCACGGCATGTTTTGTCGATTATAAAACACAGTTACAAGTACAAAATTCATATTTATTTTAAATACATTGAAAAAAAAAAAAAGTAAAACGATAAAATGTGTGAATTGAAAGGGAATATATATATATATATATATGACAAAACTACACGAGAAGACAATGTTAATCCACGTTTTCAAAATTGGCTGTCCCAAAAAGAAAAAGTGTTTCAAAATAATTGGATAGATAAGTGTTACTGTGGACTACAGTGCACTATTATTTTAAACCAAACCATTAGATAAATCTTGTATTTACAATAATATAATGCATCTCTTGCACTGATTTTTCTCGCCACTCTTTCATTGTTGTTTGTGTTCGTTTGTGCTCACACCCCATATATAGTATCCAATTTCACAACATTCATATCTCTTGTAAATTGGTCTTATTGATACTAAACACACAAAACATTAATCGTTCTGACATTATCGTCGATTTGGTGACTCCGAAGTCGTTGCCCGTTGCCGGGAACAAGCACGACAACCTCAGTGGATGCGATGAACTGAGGAGGATGAGATGAATATTGAAAATGACAACTTAATCCGGGGGAGGAGAGAGAAAAATAATCTAGTATAAGATTAAGAGGTGTAAAATATAATTGCATATTTAATTTGCATGTACAAAGTTGATATAATAATTTAAAACAATAGTGTACGATGACAAGGATGTGTGTGAAGTGTGATGATATATCTGCGAAAGACATGGATTCTAGTATTAAGGATAGTTGCACGTGGAAATGTAACTCCAAAGGATACGTACCAAACATTTTCCCCATTTGCATTGTGATGATCATGCTTGTAGTTTCTGCTGACGTGAGAATGCCTGCAAATTTAACAAATTTGGTTGCTACAACACTTTCAACGTAGCTAAACCTTTTGAGACTATGACAATAAACCGAAACCCAAATGATTTTCGCGTTTTATTCTTTCCACGTGACTTTTTCATAGAACAACATGTTTCCATATATTCTCTTTACCTGTCCTTTTTCCCTTCCTATTTTTAGTGTACGTGCAATTTCCTTAAAATTTTATATAATAGAGGTTATTTAACATGTCTAATTATTATTTTGTACTTGCGTCCTTTACATTTACTTTGTTGCATAAAATTATTGCACACAAATTATACTTACTTTTAAGTTTCAAGGGCCAAGTTCAAAATGCGGAGGTCAAATATAATGGTAAATAAGTAAAAGAAAGATTGCACATGTTAAAATAAAAGCGGTATCGCGCATGCTTCAAATGTGTATGAATTTGAATTAGTTACAATTCAATTTCACAAACACACGCACCCCGAATTTAAAATGATATAGTCACGTGTTTCAGGGGGTGAATAATTTTATATATATAAAAAAAACCTTAATTTTAGTTATATTTGTGGCTCTATCTCTATAATTATTATAAGGTTTAATATATCATCTTATCCTTAATCCTTTTTTTTAATTTTAATTAAAATTTTAAATTTTAAAAATTATAATCAGGTCTTCATCTTTTTGTAATTTAGTCATAAAAGTTAAAAATTTGTTTATAATCGGTAAGATTTTACAAAATATTATTTATATCCTTATATTTGAAAAGTCACATTAAATTATTATTCCATATCATCATTCATGTGTATCAAAATTTAATCTATACTTGTTAAATTTCTTACTATTCCAACATTCTTATAATTAAGGAGATTATGGGAATTTTTTTTACAAATAAGGATTAAAATTTGATATCTATAGATGATGATTGATGACATGAAATAATAGTCTAATATGATTGTTGAGGATATAAAAATATTTTGTGAATTTTCATAAATTGTAAAAAGAAATTATCTTAAAGACTAAATTACCAAAAAAAAAATAACAAGTTTTTTTTTATAAATTAAGGAATCTAATTAAAAATTCTCAAAAAGTTCAGGGACCAAATAATATATTAAATCTTATTATAATTACTAAAAAATATATTTAAGATAAAGATTGCAAATTTTCATAAATATTTTGCAGACATGGAAAGCTCACATTTTTACTCTAGTAAAATAAAAGAAATAAAACTAAAATTAATAATAAATAAATAAAGTCTTTTTGGCACTCCAAAAGGTTAAAAAAAAACCTTATAAAATAAATAACTAAAATATATGTAAAACATTAAGACTTACCATTGTTGTAAGTAGATTTTCCTTTATGAATAAAACATAACCAATTGGAATATATGTAAAACCATTTCAAGTCCTAATGTCACATCCTAGTTTAGGAGGTTTAAGCCTCATCCTAGTATCAACTTCTAGTTGACCATCACATGTAAATAAAATTTAACCTAGACGAACAAAGAAAACAAGCAAAGGGAAGTGACACACACAAATGTGAACTTGTTTCATTTAATAACATTTTTATATTAAATTTTAATGATCTAACATTTAAATTAGAGTTTTTAATGTATAAGTCAAGTCTATGACACACATATACACCCAAAATTACATGTCGGCAACATTTGATCAAACATATCTACACCTAAACACTTTCACTAGGGAGAATGATCCAACATGGCATGTTAGGGGCACATAATTGCTCAAGGTCACTCATACTCATCATAAAGTCTAACAAAGACTTCTAAACTAAGTTGGCCCTTGTAGTTCTAATCCACTAACTACTAGTATTGAGGGACCTCATTTACATAGGATTCCACACCAATACTGCTTCAAAAACAAATTATATGTATGATGTATGTTATGATTGACACAAGTCAATCAATCTCAATCGCTAATATCTCAATTGCTCTTAAATTTTAATTAATTGATTAAGGATATCACTTAAACTTAACAATTAATTAAACATCTTTCTTCTCATTTTGGAGAGATGGAGAATAAGATAGAATTTATTAAGTAATTAAAAAATTAAAAATACATTTTTTATTGTTTTTTTTAGATATGCATGCCATTTTATATACAAATATTTTCTTAGTCAAATAATCTAAAAAAATTATTTCCCTTTTTTTTCTTTTATCTTTATTTCTTAAATCAAACAAAACATAAGTCTCATTTTATTGTTGGACGAATAATGATATTTAAACATTCGTTATTTACAAACATCTAAATGACATCTTTTTGTTATTTTTCTCTATTTTTTTTCGTATCATATTATATAATCAATTATATTAATTACTTATTTGTGAAGTTTTTATCTCTCTCAATACCTCTACACGATTAAAAAAAAACCTTTTTTTTTGTATTAAAAATCTTTTTCTGTGTTGCACAGGTAAAGTGTAATTTAAGCGCGTGTACCTATAAAAATTTTCAACCACGAATAAAACATGATCTCAATTGAGGTGGGTCCCGTTTATTGTTTTTGATGACATGGGTCTGCTTACAAGCATACATTCTTTTACTTCGAAATTCTGAATGCACCAAAACCTTTCCAGCCCGAGACCAAAAAGCAGTAACAGAATCACATCTGCACATTTTTTTTTTTTTGGTAAGATTTATACTCATTTATATTTTTACATTCCAAAGAAATCTAATCAAGTTTTTGTTAGTTGGTACATTTTCACTTTGTGTTCAGAGTAATATCTTCAAATCCAAAAAAACTTGAAAGAAATAACTACATGAGCTGAAATTGAATGGTACCTTGGAGAATAAATGTACAACATATCACACAGTGACATAGGTGCATTTTGCATTTGATAATAAATTTGAAAGCAATATTTGATTTAAACTTGTCGTGGAAAAAAATGTGAAAGAAGGTAAATGATAATTGAACTCAAGATTATTGAGTGAATGAAATTCAACTTATTAGTTAATATTTAGTAACTCAGGCTACATACATAACTATTTGTATTTTTTCTTTGAAGGGTAAATGCATTTAAAAAAGAGGTGCGAAAACATGCTTAGTTCAACGCATACTTAAATACATTTATACCGTGTAAAACTTATTTAATAAGTTTATTTAGTATTCCTGTTTTTTTTTTGTATGACACAAATTATGTTTTCTTACTCATAAAAAAATATGCCATAAACTAATTATTTAATAATTTAGATGTTTATTAATCTTTTTTTTAATGATTTCACTTATATACCTAACAAGACACGTATAGGGAAGTTTAGGGTTCATCACAAGTCACAACTCCATAATTTAAACGAATATTAAAATTAATTAAAATAATTTTAGCCAATTTAACATATATAAAGTATAAAGACACTTTTGAGAATGCTAGCTTTTGGGTAAATTATTACCTAAATTTGTAATTTTCTCAAAAATCGATCGTATATATATATACACAGTCACTGTACGTTTCTTTTTCTAGTTTTTGTTTTAAATTAGGAACACTAGCCACCCTTTTGTTATACTCAATTCATTCACGGCTTCCCATACTTGTTGTTACACTTTCTTATATATTTGTATATGAAGACACATATCTGTAGCACATTAATTTCATTTCTCATCCTTTGTCTAGTTACATTGAAAGATCCCCTCAGACAGAGAAGTGAAGAAGAAGCTTTGAAGAGATAAGAATGGCGGGTAGTGTTACTCCAGTCATGGCCATGGTTATTGTACAATTGGGCTATGCAGGGATGAATATTACCTCAAAGCTTGCAATACAATCTGGCATGCACCCTCTTGTCCTTGTTACTTATCGCCAAATTTTTGCAACTATTGCCCTTGCTCCATTCGCTTATTGCTTAGAGCGGTAATCCACAAACATATCATATATTTCACGCTCATTTTATAACTATATTGCTTATCTTATTATACTTTGCTTTTATTTCACATGTAATTATAATTATATATGTATCAATAGGTTGTTAGATTATCGATTAAATAATCTTATTTTTTAAATAAGAAACCACGAATTTAAGGATGTGTATTATTAAATATTAGTTAATAGAAGTCAATTCTTTAAACAAATTTTATTTTTTCTATTTTATAATAAGTGTCAGTCTTAAGTTATTTCATATAAATAAATAAAAAGTTAATAAATAGATAAAAAAAATAATAATTTTATAAAAATAATTATTATAAATAATCTTTTTTATTAGAAACATCCATCACAATATCACTTTTTAAATAATATTATAAAAGATATGGATGAAAAAAAGATAATTAATATTATATTTAAAAAAATAATATAATATTTATTTTGTAATTTATTTTTTTTCAAATACAACATTTATTATAAAATGAAATATTTAGTATTTAACTTTCGGTAAACTGCCCTTATTTGTAATAATAAATATTTTAGCATGTGTATTTCACAGTTAAATATTTACTATATAATTAAAATTTATAATAAATTATATATAAATAAATGTTTTTAAATATATAAATTATATTTTAAATTTAAAATAAATATTTAATATTATAACACAAAATTAATTTTAATAATTGATAATTTATTTTAAAATATTAAAATTAAATTAATAAATAAATATAAAAATTAAATTAAATTAAAATTTATAAAAATTATTAAAAAGACTCTCATAAAATAACACTTCTTATAAATGTTGTTGTATAAGATAATTATTCACAGGTGAATATTTTCATATAAAATATTAATCCATGAGTTGTATAATCGTATAATATCAATTCACACTTCCCTCGCTGTAATAAAAACACATGCTGAAAAACTAACAAAAAAATGCAACATCACCATGACAAAATAACAACTTCCCGTACTTTATGTCACCCTTCAGCTCACGCACCCTCTGCTCAAGGAACCTAAGGCCTAAGCCTATTCCACTTGGGCCTGCTCTCAAGCATATCACCCATCCAATATCTCATCTTCTATCAACACATGTCCATTTGTAATTACAATGACCTTTCTTATTATCTTAACACCTCTTCAAATTATAATTTAATTACAGACTCCACACATGATTTACTCGTAATAAAGACTCTGCTCAATGCTCATCAACTTGGATCGTCTGCATATAGTTCTAGTTATTAATTTGTCTACCTTTATTAAACTTTTTTTTTTTTTTTTCCTTTCTATAGGAATACGGTTCCCCGAATGACAAAGCGCATTGCGTTCCAGATATTATTATCTTCCTTGACAGGGTAAGCGTAATCTGGTTGCTGCTACTATACCCTTTTAATTTGTTCAACTTGCACTTTCTTTTTAAGCTATATTATTATCAAATGTTTTTTTAGTTTGAAACATATATTTATTTTAGAGGACCCTTGAATCAATATCAATATAATATGTATAATAAAAAAGTACCATATTTGTAAAATTCTGTCATTGACGGCCTCTATTTCAGATGCCAGAGATGTACATCCATCATTAATTATTCTTATATGCACTTGAATCACACACAACACTGGTTGTTGGGAAATATTCTTTTACAAAAATAGTACTCCGTATCTCTTATTTCTTCATTGATATTCAGTTCCACATACCATTCATACAAAAAATGTAATTAAGGAGTAGTTACTAACTAATTTGAGGTTGAATGCAGAGTATCAGGAAATCAGATACTTTATTTCGTGGGGCTCAAATATTCAACCCCTACAATTGCATGTGCACTAAACAACATGCTACCAGCATTCACTTTTGTTCTTGCAGTCCTTTTCAGGTGAGTAGCAACTAGCAACTAGCAACTAGCAACAATAACATCACTTTGCAGACATGGTCTTTAAGATAGTAATTGACATAAGTATATATATGTTTTATTTATGCGTAGACAAGAGTATTTGAGAATCAAGACATTGGGAGGGGTAGCGAAGGCGTTAGGGACAGTCCTTAGTGTTGGTGGAGCGATTCTTTTGTCATTTTACCATGGAAAAGTGCTTGGTTTTGGTGAATCACGTATTCATTGGAGATATGCAGATAAAATGGAAAGAGAAGCCTCTTCTAGGAGTGAATCAAATTTGCTTCTGGGCCCTGTTGCTGTAATTGGCAGTGCTCTTGTTTGGGCAGTATGGTTCATAGTTCAAGTAAGCATCATATTATTAGTTACTATATTATAAGTCATATTATTCCTGAAATATATTTGGTTTGTTTGTTCAGGCAAACATGAGCAAGAGCTATCCAGCTCCTTATACTAGCACTTTCTACATGTGTTTCATCGCAAGCATTCAGTGTATGGCCATAGCCTTGTCTGTGGAACACAGGGCCTCAGCTTGGTCACTCCACAGTACTATAAGACTCACCTCTTCACTTTATGCGGTACAGTTGCCATTTTCTACAACCATGTTGAATTGGTTCATTTATAGTAATCATGATTGCATTTTATAATGTTGGTTTCAGGGAACTATTTGTTCTGCACTAGCGTACGTTCTCCTTTCGTGGACCATTCAGAGAAAAGGTCCTCTCTACGTGTCTGTGTTCTCCCCTTTGCTTCTTGTCATCATTGCTGTTCTAAGTTGGGCTCTTCTTCATGAGGAATTATACGTTGGCACGTACGAAATTATATCAACAACCATCTATGACTTTATATTTATTTATTTATGTGCCTCATGAGTGATGAATAAAAATTGTACATTACATTGTGGTTTGTTTTTAACCCAAGGTTTTGATTTGGTTCAGTGCCATAGGGTCTGTGCTGATAGTGTTCGGGCTCTATTTTGTATTGTGGGGAAAGAACAAAGAGATGAATAAGACAAACGCAGTTCAAGAGAGCGTAACGGAGGTGATCAAGGATAGCGAGAAGGGCCTGGAATTGCAACCCTATGATCCTTTCAACCGTAACGGTAACGGAATCCATCATGGTGCTAATTGAAGCGATACATGATACAACTTACAAGAACAAGACGCTTTTATGGACTAGTGCATTTTGTAATCTCAATTTATTACCCCTATTAGCTAGCAATAAGAAGCTCATTTTCTGGTTTAGAAAGGATAATTAGTAGGAGTATCATGTTACTAAACGATATCAATTTCATACAAATTTAATTTGTACTCCAAACACACGTGTAATTATTAGTTTCCTCATACTGATTCATGGTCCTTTCAAGTCACTTTTATTTTTGGTAACAAATAACATTATTGTTTCAATTTTTGCCTTTATTTGATTCCAATGCTTGTTAAAAAAGCAAAATTTGTAAATTATAAACGTAACTCTAAAATTAAAATAATGAACTAATATTCTACAGAATAAATAAAATAACAATACTGACTTTTATGCGATGTTTGTTTAAACAAAAAATGTATTTGCAATGTATAAAAAGAGAAATTTTATTTATTTATTTTTGGTAAAAATGAAAAAAGAAACAGATATTAATCGTTAAATCTTATAAAGAATGATTAAGATTACAAGACATGATTCTTGTGTACATAAAATATAATCAAATATAATAAAATATATTTTTTTTTGCAATTTATTAATAAACTAATATTTTAGTCAGTAGGGGTAATAATTATTTATTTTATATGATTAAATTTATAATAAATTATATATAAAATAAATATTATATTTGAATATATAATGTATATTATATTTAAATTTTATATAGATAAATATTTAAAATATATGTTATATTTTAAATTTATAGAAAATAATAGATTACATTAGGAAGGAGTGTGTTAAAATTATTTTTTTAGTTTAATAAAAAAAAATCTGTATAACAATTGAACTTGTAATTAAATAATAATTATTTAGTAAAATAAAAAATATTAAAAGTAAGGAGCATTGAGCAGCGTGGGGATTCGAGGGAGCTTCTTCTTGGATCTACCCTCTCAAGTTCGCAAATAACCCCAATTTTGTTTCTCTGCTTCTTCTCCTTGTAAGTTTTCTCTCTCTGTAAGCTTCTTCTCTTATGTGCTCATTTTCGTTTAGATCTGATTAGCTTTCATTCCAGTTCTCGTTCCGTGTTTTGTCTGTCAAAAATCTGTATTCAAATTCTTGCCATCTTGTTACGTATTATGCTACCAGATCTGTTGCAAGTAAACCTGATTCTCGTTTTCAATTAGCGAATCAAGCAGGTTTTCCACAATAACGAAGATCTCAACATTCGCATTTCTTGTGTTCTGCTGAAATATGAAGTCGAATCATTTTATTTTCAAAAAAGTTTTTGGAAATTTTATTTCATAGTTGTGTTCAGCAGATCTCTCTGTTCCTTTTAGCTCGCGCTGAATTATCTTACTATATTTGTTTGATAGATTTTTAAGGTAGTTGGTGAAATAATTTTAACACTTAGCCTAGGATATCACTTGCGTGTAGTAATTTTATTTTAAATTCCGTCTGAATTTTTGAAAATAAGGTTGTGTTCGTTGCATCTGGTTAAGATGAGAATGGTTTTCTTGTATATTGATTCTTAATATGAGATTTGAGTGCAACTATGTGATTTGGTTGACGCGTGCTTTCTCATGAATTTCTGCATCCAGTTGAAATAAGAGATGGGGTTGTCTTTCACTAAACTTTTTAGCCGGCTCTTTGCCAAGAAAGAGATGCGTATTCTCATGGTAGGTCTTGATGCTGCTGGTAAGACAACCATCTTGTACAAGCTCAAGTTGGGGGAAATTGTGACAACCATTCCGACAATTGGTATTCACCTGAATTTGCCTTTTATATGCTAACATTCTTGCATATGTTTCAACTTCTTTTATTATCTGTAGTTTTAGAAGTTATAGTGCTTTATGATGTGATTCCACTCACCATCCAACTTCTCTTGCACATATTTTGGTTGTTGAAAAAAGAATTGCCAATTGATGCTTATGTTTGTCGTTATACAGGATTTAATGTGGAGACTGTGGAATATAAAAATATTAGCTTTACTGTATGGGATGTGGGTGGCCAAGATAAGGTTTGTGGCTTGTATATTTGCATTTTTTTTCAATAAGTTTTGTTAAAACTATGGAAATTTGTTTTACTAAATTTGCAATGAACTATAGTATTTTTTTTTCTGTTCCTTTTCTTTGTTGATAAAGTACTCTGAACTTTGTGAACATGTGGCAGTAACTACTTTGTATTGTAAACTTACTTTTGAGATCAACATAGGTTTCATATATGGCATCTCTCTCCTTTCGAGTTTTTCTTTGAACCATATTAGAGAAAATTATCAGTGTTGTGGCTTACATTTTATAAAAAAAATTGAACAAATAAATCCTATGAACAGTTGTAGCACTGCAGAATATCATCCAAAAGTTTTTGATGGGGGCCGGAGCTTAATGAAGTCTTCTCTATATTCCATCTTCGTTTGAGTTAGCTTAGCTCCTAGTTGTGGTGAAAAGCCTCAAGCTTTGACTGTGAAGGCAGTTTTATAACAAAACAAGAAGGGCCCAAAACTGTGAGGGGGTAGCTGCCACCCTCTCCCCAGAGAAGCTAGACCCCACCTATGAATATATATGCTGCTTTATGCTTGTTTAAATGTAGATATTTGCAATCTTTTGTAATTTATTATAGTTTCCCCTTCCTTAGATTTTTCTGCTTGGCATCTGTTGCTTTTGATGGCAACTGCATGTTGATGGTCTTGTGCCTAGAGGTTCTCTCATTAGCTCAGCACAAACATAAACTACATTGAGCCATCACAGTTTTCAGGTTTTCCTGTAGAAGTGTGAGGGAGAGCTGTATGTGTGGCTTACAGTTTAGATGTCAAACAGAATTACTACGTAGTACTTATATATGTATTTGAGTAGGCTGATGAGTTGCATTTACTTGTGTGGAATAGTCCTATCATCCATTTTGTTTTTTTTAATGCATTTCCATGAGGGCCTGTTTTCATTCTTCCATTTTTTTTGCTCTGAAAGTATTCACCAAATGCACACTCTGATATGTGCTTTAGACCATCAACATATTTGAAATTCATGAGGTAAAAAAATTTCTACCGTGTTCCTGTTTACTATGCAAAGTTTTTGGATGGTTGCTATGGCTTTTGCACCCTTGATAGAGTACATGCAAGGTCTATTAGGTTAACTTCTAAAATTGTCTTTTCTTGATTTTGATTCTGGAATGCTAAATATAATGTTCTTTTGTATGGTGCACTCACAGATTCGTCCTTTATGGAGACACTACTTCCAAAACACTCAGGGGCTTATCTTTGTTGTGGATAGCAATGATCGAGACCGTGTTGTTGAGGCTAGAGATGAGCTCCACCGGATGTTGAATGAGGTAAATAGATGAAGTGTGAATCTAAATTATGTGAACGCCATCACGTTGATTGAAAGGTCTTGCATGATGAGTTCTTCTAAATAAACTTACATTGGATTTGAAATTTTGATACTTCTTACTGTCAACTCCAGAAAGCTCTGGCAATAGTTGTACATGTTATATTGATAATCTTCTGCTGTAGCCTTTCTCAGTTGACTAGTGTGATGATGATGGTGATGAAACTGTTGCATAGTGACTGTAGCTTTTTTGATTGACATAGTGGCATTTTTCTTTGGTAGAAGATTTAGTTATCTACTTGGGTAATTTATAGGATGAATTGAGAGATGCAGTTCTCCTTGTATTTGCCAACAAACAAGATCTTCCAAATGCTATGAATGCAGCAGAAATCACAGACAAGCTTGGTCTTCATTCTCTTCGCCAACGCCACTGGTATTCATATACATTTCTGTTATATCTGCCTGCTTTCATCTTAGTTGTGTACTTTCAATAATTAGATTTTTGTACACCTTTATTTGTTTCATCGCAGGTATATCCAGAGTACATGTGCCACCTCTGGAGAAGGACTCTATGAAGGACTGGACTGGCTCTCCAACAATATAGCTAACAAGGTAAGACCCCAATTCTGCATCCCTTGTGTTCGATGCTTGACCCCGTATAACTGTGGTTGATTTCTGTTTACTTTTATGGATCAGGCTTAGGGGCATTTTTGTGGAACGCTGCTATCTTGCTTGGCTTTACGATTATATTATGAGGTTGACTGGTTGTTGCTTCTCTTATAGCATTAAAATCTACGCTTTTTTCTTAAACTCTATAATGGTGTTGTCTTTATTTAGGTGTTTGATACTATATCATAGCAAATTCTATTTGTTCCTGTAGAATTTCTGAATAATTAATGAATTACGAAACTATACATGCCTGGATCATGTTTTTCATAGAATTGTGCATCGGTCAATAATCTCTAAACCTTTCATTTAAAGCTTCGATGAATCAGTTGTTCCGGTGGGCGATTTACAAATTTCACTTAATATATGTTTTGATTATGTGGAAACAGTGCTAATTGTAATCAATGGGATTCCAGTACTGGAAATCAGCTTGTGGTACTTGGTAGTACTGCGTTCTTTTTAGAAAGAAATGAAATTATGTATCGAGTCATGAGTCATGAGCCGAGCTCGCAATGTCTGGCAAAAACAATTGTACGTGCAGATTCCCGGACCGCACATGGTTCCAGGTTAATTATATTTTTGCGAGACAAATCTGTAATTGAATATGCATATATATTCTAAGACACGGCGTTAGAGGGTCGAAATCGAACTGGGAACATGATTCAATTACGTTGAATATTTTTTGTTACTCGATTACAGTTAGATTTGGGGCCGGTGCAACATATTTTAATGTGTAAAGCGAATTTTGAAGTTAAATAAAGAGCGACAAAAAATCAATAGTCACTCATAAAAAATATTAAAAAAAAATCAGCAAAAAATATATAATATTAGAATCAAATTTTAGTCTTTATAATATTAAGTTTAGATAATGACTAATAAATTACAGTTAGTACTGTTTATTAAATTCTATAAGAAAAAATATTTTGGGAACTTAAAATTAAGATTTAGACAGATATGTTTGGGTCGATCCTATTAGATTGTAACAAATTAATGAGATTTTAAGTCGATCAACTCTACTTATAATAATAATATAATCTATACTTAAAGAAAATATGAATATTTATTGGAAGTTATCTTTATTCTTTATTCATATAACTTAATTGAGTCTACTCGGACTTTTTAATTATTAATCATCTATTATTACTTAATTTTAATTATTTTTATTATTATTTTAGATAAAATATATTAAGGTAAAAAGTTGTCTCTTTTTATCTAATAAAATCTTTCTATCAAACATGAGACACATTAGTTAGTATTATCTTCACTATCTTGTGTTATGCATACAATAGTCTCGAGTTTTAATTTGTATCGCCTTTATTATGTATTTCAAGTACTTTAAATATAACTAAATAATAATCATGGTGAATCAAAATGTAAATAAATTTTAATTTTATCTTATTTAATGTTAATATCTTCAAATATTTTTATTTATTTGAGATTATATTTTCAATTAGGAAGAAAGAGGTACGAAGTACCTCTGCTTTATATATTTGTTGAAAAATAAATTGGAGTAAATGTTGGAATACAATATTATTGTAGAGGGGTGAGAGCAAAAAGAAAGTACCGCTGTTTTTTTTTTCTTTAACTATAATGTCGAGTATTGGACAGTTACCCCCGATAGATGATGGTAAAATATTTTTAAAAGTAGAAATAAAAGAGATCAATTATTATATCTGTAATATTGATAAGAGTATAATGATATGAAAAAGGAAAGACGAAATCGGAAATATCTATTTTATATATTATTAGTGAATGTGAGGCTGCCTCGTTATTAAAAAAATGAAAAAATAAAATATAAATGATGAAATTAAAAGTAAGATATCTCCATTGTTAATGTTATAGATTATAGTTTATAAATGATATATGACTTTTTATTTTTAATATCATTCTAACGAAAAGTAATATAAGAAAAATGAACTTTTTTAATTAACTGTTAATTTTGCTTATAATTGTTTTTAATTAACTGTTAATTTTGCTTATAATTGAATTTAAATGGAGTAATTGTAAGTATTGTTTGAGACATTGTATTTTTCTTATTAATACTGTTTGAATCTTTGAGGACATGTATTATGCTATTTATAAATTTTAGCGATGTTTAAGACATGTATTATAACTTAAAAAAATTATGTATTATTTTTAAGAGTTAATCACTTATACACTGTCAGTACAAATCTTTTTTACACCGACAACTAATCATATTTTTTAACAATGTCATATCAGATGCTTATTTAATAAAATAAGAAAAAAAATAAAATAATTTAAAAGATATGATTAGTTGTGTTACACCGGCCGTACATGAATGATCAACTCTATTTTTAAACTAGAAATTATAATAAATCAATATCTTAATATATTAACCCATTATCCAACTCAATTAAGGTCGGTTGAGTTAAGTTGCTGAAAATGCAAACTCAACACAACTAAACCGGATTCTGTTTAACAGAAAACTTTAAATTCAATGAAACTTAATCCAACTCGTTTAGAGACTTAAAGTGATTTTATTTTGTTTCCTGGTAAGTGCCGCCAGGCTGCGAGTCCGCTGGCACGTGGAATTCTCGGATAATTGGATATGTAGTCAAACACTTGATCTAAATAAAAAGAACTGCCAGATAATTTCAAGAGAAATTTTAGAGAGGATAATATTGCTTTTCTTTATTCTCATATAATGGTTACAAATTTGCAATACCAAGGCCACATTTCATTTTATATGACCTGACGCCTTCAAGGGTATAACCTGTTATGATCCTTTCTACATAAGGATGGATTATATATATGCAAGAAAACATTTTGCGAACAACTGTGAAGCTAATAAAAATACACACCAAAAATATTCACTCAAAGCATTTGAAACTTTATCTATTGCCTCAATACTCGGTTTGAGCTGAGGATAAAGTTTTGCTCACCAGCAACGGTGGAATTTAATCGTCCTGCTGCCCAGCCATTATTAACTACACGAACTGCAGCACGCGCTGGATCCCCTGTTACACGGCTTCCCTCAACTTGCTTTCCAAATTCAGGAAGCCCAGCTGCTTTTCTCTCTTTCCTTTTCTTTCTGTCTTCGTCTCGCTCTTTTCGCAGCCAACTTTCTACTGTTCTCTGCATATTCAAAACCAATTAAGAGCAACTTTTAATACTAAAATTCCACTACTTAACTCTGCTTATCATTTCATAGCTAGTCTCAAACTCAAACAAAGTTAAATTCTTAACAACCAACAAATAACTTGTTGAAACCCCAAACATGAGTAGTGCACAACACACTGCTAATGCTAGGTCGATACTTGAAAGCAATGTGTTTTACGCGTATGCCTCGAGTACAATGTTAAATAAGCTAGAGTTGCTACATTGGTACCCAAATACCTAAGGTTAGGAAGGTTACTAAAGCAATTTTTGGTGAATAAAAAATCTGATAAATAATGAATTTGGGTGGTAGAATCAAAGAATGCAAGAAAATAGAATCACAAAAGTGTGTTTTAAAGCTTTACATGGATGCAATAAAGCTAAAACTTGGGCAAGGTATCGAAATTCGAAAGGATATGTATGAGACAAAGAATGCTATGAGTGAGGCACAACTTAAAGCTTATTATGAGTTTTATTGAAATCCCGGGACAAAGAATGCAGAACGAAAATATATGAGCTTGCAAAATAATATCAAGTAAAATGTATTAATAATGAAGGAAAAATTTTAGTTATCGATCAATGTTAAAGAGAGATGAAAGAATTATCTTTATAAGCTTTTTAATGATGGGCAATAATCGAATTGTAATGTAGAATAATTAAAAATCTAAGAGGACAAACAAAATTTGGCTAACCATCGGAAAATTCAACTTAAAGATGTAAAAAGCGGTCTAAAAACGATGGACAAGTGTTAGTCCTAAATAATGGTATTCCTGTTGATGTTTGGAAATGTACAAGAGAACAAGATATCATTTAGCCCACTAAGCTATTTAATAACATGTTGAGATCAAAGAAAATGTCAGATGAGTGGAGGAGAAGCACTTTTGTTCCAATAACGAGAGATTTTCAGCATGGCATAAACCAGAGGTAAAATTTGACTGAGTCATACTATGAAATAATGGAAAGGGTTATTGAGCACAGATTATTTGGAATTGTATAGAATCAATTAGGTTATTTTTCAGAAAAATCTACAATAGCAGCTATTTATCTTCTACAGGAACTAATTTAAAGATATTGAAGTAAAGAAAGAGACTTGGTATGTGGTTTTTATTGATTTGAAAAAAATATATCATCAACTGCGAAGTGTTGTTGAATTGATCAGAAGATCCAAATATATATATATATATATATATATATATATATAAACTAACCAATCAAAGTATCAAACCTAATCAAGTACAATCGGGATAACTTTCTAATCCCCAGCTGTTCAAAAATTGTGAGGACCCTAGCACCTTTAACGCGCTACATTCAGGTGCCAGTACAGCAGCAGCTCTAGCTCATTTATCATTGTACTCAAGCCATACAGCGGATTACTTCCGAGTAACAATCAAACATTGGCACACATAACCCATCGTGAGTTATCCACGTTTGGGGTCTGGACAAATTTTATGAAAGTCGTCCATTCCCTAATACCACCTTCCTCCTTTACCCAAACTTGGAACTAGCTATGAAACCATAGGATAATTTGCTGATTTCTTTGACTAAGGTTCGTATTAACAAGATACAAGGAGTGAAATATAAATAATTGATCAATAGCATAAAACTTTCAAGTATCAATATTATTACAACACTAACCATTAGTGACAATTTGCTAATTTCTTTGACTTTGTCCATAGGCATTGCTAGTTGCAGCCTTCCATGGGCTACATAAACCTGATAAAAGAATATTAAGAGTTATGAAGGATTATGCTAATATATTGACATAAAAAGAGTTCCGAATGGTGCATAGACGTACTATATTTGTTGGCCAATCCTCGAGACCGTCAAATATATGTGTTGCATAGATAACAGTGGCACCCCTCTCATCACATTCCTTTCTTAGAAACCTCAGAAGGTCGGCTCTCGCTAGAACATCAAGATCAACTGTTATCTCATCGAGAAGAAGAACCTATATAAACAATGAACAAGCTTGTACATACGTGCAATGAAGCTACAATTGTAAACATATTTTAAATTCAACATGTGTGTCCTAAAAAGGATGAGTCAAAAATGACTTTTTCATACATCAAACAAAAGATAATCATACCTTGAACGGTTTGAGGAGACCCATACAAATTTGCACTCTTCTTCTTTGACCATCAGACACTTTATGCAATCTCCAGGAAAGATCAATATCTAATACCTACCCAGTTAAACAGCAAAACAGAAATTAAGCAACAATATTTCCAGAGACAAGTATACGTGCATTGCCACAAAAAGCTTCCCAGAAATCAACCTTGATTAATTCTGCTCTTCTTTGAGGATCAATCCCAGCCACACCAAATATCATTTTTTGAGCAGAAACGTCCATTTGTATCGGAACCTCAAACCCTGCAAAAGCAACATCTCGCCTCCACTGAAAAAACAAAATAAATCAATTTCCAACAGTTCACATGGAGTTCAAGTCGAAAGGGACATGAACAACAATAGTAAAGCTGGTTATGAAATTGAAGAAATGAAGTTAAAAGTGAAGTGAAAGCACGAACCTCGCCGCCAAGATAACAGAGGTCACCAGAAGATACTAAATTGGTGTCGTGAAAAGCCGATCTGCCGAGCACGCGAACCATGTCAGGCTCCACCATGTGCTTCCCTCCTAGTATCTTCAGGATCGTCGTCTTTCCTATTAACCGCAAAACGACAAATAAAATCATAAATGAAAATGCAAATACGAATACGAATACGAATACGAATAGCGAAATGCTTGAGAGATTACCGGCGCCGTTGGAACCGACGAGAAGGCATCGTTCGCCGGAAGAGAGAGTGAGAGAGAAATTCTGAATGAGAGGAGTGGAACCCGGCGGAGGATGGCCGCCGATGCCGGGGTAAGTGAATCGGAGATCCTTTATCACAATCGTCGCTGCTTTTGAATCCAAACTGGTTCCTTCAACTGCCATTTTTGGCTTTAACGTTCAACACCGATAAGTAACCGAAAGTTTCTGCTTCTGAGATTCGATTCGTTGGTGTATAAATTGAAAATTGAAACGGCGTTCGGTGGCTTTTCGCGGATGGAAGAGGGGTTGCGTGGCTACGTCTCAGACACTCGCGCTCATTTCCATCCACCACCTAACCAAACGCCAATTGGGCCTCGCTCTCGTGAATCTCATTTATTCAACGCCGTGCTTTTTCTGGTGGGATTTTTTTGGGCCCAGACATTAGGCCCATTGGGCACAAAATTTTGGTTTATTTGGAAGCGGTTTTGTTTTTTAAATTTTCTCTATCAATTCATGAAGTCATCAATTTTGGTTTATACTTGTTCAAACAAACACCTCAATTTATCAAAGTATCACAGTCGTCACTCCTATATAATAATTTTAAAAGTTAAATATGGCCAGCTCATTGTTGATATGGAAACAATGACATCACATTGATATGCTCAAAGGCATCAAAACAGTTTCAAATCAAGACAGCCAAGCATACTACTATAGTAAATTCAAAAGCTCTCAATATGATAAATTTCATGCTGTTTACACTTGTCGTAGAGTCACTGATTCCAAATCAAAAAAGTTTCTTGCCCATTATGATTCCACGACAGCACTTTATGTGTTATCACCATTTCATGCTAGCTATACTAATATGTATTTACGTGTCCTGCAGGCCATGCAATTGTACAGGAGAGGAGAAAGAGCCACGTCAAAAGATTTAATTTGATGATTCATATCAAGAAGAGGAGATTGCAATAATGGTAGAGAAAATATGGGAAAAAAGCATGGGAAGTACAGTAAACCCAAGATACAGATTGTTCGGGTATGCCTAAAAGTGCTAAGTTTAGTTTATAAACACTCTTCATTTTCAAGAACATAAAAGGCTTTTTCTTTTTCAAGGACAAAACCGTGACGGCTTGTTTCGGTATGCCTAAAAGTGTTAAGTTTAGTTTATAAACATTCTTCCTTTTCAAGAACATAAAAGGCTTTTTCCTTTTCAAGGACAAAACCGTGACAACGAACGCTAAAGCGGACAATACTTCGGATGCGGTGACCCTAACGATGACAGCAGACTTACGGTAAGAAGATAAAAGGAAAACGCTTATTGACCAATATTTGGTTAAAACTGATAGAATAGAAAAACAAAAACTAGTCGGTAATGTAAACAAACAAAAGAAAAACCCCGTCATTTTCGTGGCATGATCCAGAAATGTATAGGAAGGTGAGCCTTTTAAAATAATGAAAAGATTAATCTTAAAATCATTGTTGTTTAGCTGGTAGACGACCCGATACTGTAATTTTATATAAGGTATTTATATTGTTCATCGATCATCCATGTGCTTTATCATGGATATGAAAGGGAATAAAATGAAAAAGAGAACATGTACAAAATAATATACATATCACTTTATAAAAATTAAGGATATGGCATCCACTGCTCTACAATAGCAGAAGTGAAAGATTATAATAAGGGGACACATAAAAAAGGTCCTCGATCTCGATCTTAACTATTTACAAACACATAAAACTTAGTGATGTATGACTGTATATCCTATGTACTTGTACTGTCACACTTGATTTCCAATTCCAAAGATAAGCAAAGCACTCTAAGCGGCCGAAGGGGCAGGAACAAACTTAAATCCACCAGCCTCCAAAAGCGCCGCAGTGAGGGGATTTTTGTAGTCCAAATTCTCATCCTCATATATATCCCACCACTTCTTCACCAACATCTTAATATCTTCTCTATCCATGTTCTCTTCTTTCCCAGTGTACCTCCAAGGCTTAGATCCCTGTGACACCAATGGAATCAAATTAAACATCTTATATTGTATCACAAATTTAAATCTCAGTGTCATTTCAATTAGAATTGAACACTCACAGCAGCACAATAGTGAACCACTTTGACTTTGTCAAGCTCAACATTCTCAGGGTGACGCCACAGCATGGCCAGCACAAGATTGTAGACATTTGGTATGGGCCTATATTTGTCCTTGAAGTACATGTTCAAAAAATCCTGCAAAACAATAATATATAGTGTCACAGTACGTATATAATGCAATAACGTTAATTGCATTAGATTATTAGTTGAGTGAGTACTTGTTCAGCAAAGGAAGTGGGCTTGGTGACTTGGACTGTTTGAAGAAGATCATGGTAGGTATCCAAATTGGGCACATAAACAAACATGCCAGCATTGAAATAGAGAGGAGGCTTGGGCCCAAAATCAGAGGGCCACTGAACCTTATCAGGGCACTGCTGGCAGTAACCGATCTGAAACTGCGGAGTGTGGGCCCAAGTGGGCTCGCAGAAACAGTCCATCACCGCGTAGAAGTAATCATCAGGCAAATCAAACAAGTGGTCAATGTTGCTAAAAACTTGGATATCACCGTCTAGGTAAATCATCTTACTATACTCCACAAACTGCAAGATTTTGAAACCACATTAAACTCCCATCAAACACCAAGAAAAATGTATATAAAAAAAAAAGATATATATACACGTACCTCCCAAATACGTAGCTTGGAATAGTTGATGACGTAATATGCCATGGCAAACTGTGTTTGGTTCTTAGGGGGGTACACAGGCTCAATCTCTCTAACAATGCAACCCTGAGTGATGAGAATGTTGCGGTGCTCTTGGGGAACATCGGGTAACACTGCAACCACCAAAGGGTACATGCTCTTCACCTTCCTCAGACCTTTGGCCAAGCCAACAACACCTTTCACGTAGTCGCCGTTACCGGCGAGGAAGGTGACGTAGGCACGGCCAAGACCGCCGCTGGCCTTAGCTTGAGCATCAGTGAGGGTGCTGATCATATCAGGGGCCATGGTTTCAGACTCGAGAGGAAGAAGGAAGTGAAGGGTTTTGTTTTGGTCACAAGAGTTGGATTTGGGAGACAAAGGATGCTTTGAAAAGTTGTAAGGAAGATCTTGGTTTGTTGTTGTGGTTGAGCAAAGCAAATGGTGTGTGCTTATATAGAGCTCTCGAGGCTATTATCGCCATTACACTTGCAAGCGAATAATCCAACACATGGCATGGAAAAGACTAAAGGATAATCTTTTTTCACCGCTGAGTTAATTAAGGAGTATTATCTTTTAGCTGGGATTATAACATTAGAGCATTCTAGTGTTCCTTCTATCATTTAATGTGATGTGTTAGTTTATTAATATTATTACGTTCTAATAAAATTGTCATAATGATGGTCGACATGCAATATGGACCAATAGAATATTGACATTAATATAGCAAACAATTGGCTAGCATATTCTTTTATCATCATGAATTTTCTTTTATTTTTTTATTACATCTTAAATGGAAAATATATATAAAAAAAACATAAATCAAAATAATTCCAGTTAATACCAAAAATAATAGTTTTGGAATGGATCATAACCATTTTTTAAAAGAAAACATACGAATCAAAACATTTTTTTTGTCGTCCAAAAAGTTACTATTAAAGTGGGCCACGGTATTATGTGTTATATGTAATTCATTTTGTTGCAAGTTATTCAAATCTTGTATGAATAATTATATTAGATTAATAGATTCATTCTCTCACCATATCTTTTGATGTTCAATTGTGATCCCTGATACTCTTGGGAGAAATAGAATAATATATAGCGTTGAAGTGGACATATGAAAAATCGATAAATTTACAATTTAAAATCTGTTTCCTGACCAGAGACCATGCATGGAGGTAGGGACCATGATAAAACCTCAAAACTTATCACTTTTTCATCCAAGTTCACATAAACTTATACCATGCGCGTGATTTTTATTATTTGAATGAAAAGTGACGTGAACTAACACTTTTTAAAAGAAAATGTACACTAAAGGGAAATAATACTTGATATATATATATATATATATATATATATATATATATATATATATATATATATCATGTGTAAAAACATTGACCATGTTGTAACAAACTATTTCATATCACACAACACATCATGTGTCATTCTCTTGCAATA